GTGAAGTTCTATCATAATTGTATGAAGCGCCTCTTCCGAAAGATAAGTCCCTCCCGATACCCAAGTCCAACGAGGTTGGACCCCAAAAAATATTATTGGGTCTACGGCTGGGCTTTCAAAAGAATGACAATAGGTGAAGGACAGGCATGGATGGGGGGCATTTTGACTTTGAAACTTGTGGCGCCCCGGCATAGAGTTGAGGACTACTACGTTGTTATCTTTCGGAAGAGGCGCTTCATACAATTATGATAGAACTTCACTTACAGGTAAGTTCGTTTAATCATTAAATTATACTTATTTTGACTTTACAAATGTTTTTTATATCATACGACGTACCTAATTAAAAACAGAATTTTGTCTTGAATTTAAACGAATTTTATGTCGTCTAAAATGTTCTTTAAATCCAATTAGTTAAATACGAGGATAACTACATTTGTCTACCTGTCGCAAATCAATAACAGTTGCCGACCCTTTTCCCATTGGACGATCTCCATAAAACCGCGTTTGATCCCATAAAAGTTGGATTAATATCGAAAATGCAATTTTGTCGCGATAGTTTCGGGCCCGCCATTGCCATATAAACTGGAATGGGGTTCATTGTCGGACCGATCTCTGCAGGTGCATTGTTAGCGGTAATGCAAGGTAATAGAAAGTGCTTTGACCCGGCGCTGTTGAAAATTAAGTGACCGCTGCCGAACCATTGAAATTTATACCCCAGCGCTCCGAGCCTGGCTCGCTTAACCCGAAAATCTGATTCGATACGGGACCAGTAATTTCAACGTCCCGCAGACTCGATAAAAGGGAAAATTACGTTCTGCGTCGCGCCAAAGCGCGCGCGCGCGCGCGCGCTCGGGCTTGAAATGGCGTTCCAACGAAGGAGATAGCTTTCCACGTTTTATAATACATGAGATTCGGTCTGCGCAAAATTCTGATCAGTGTCTTGGCAATAAATATTTGATTCTGTCTCTGTCTGATTGTAAGTGTATTTAAAATTCACTGTAGTATTTTAATTAGTGGTTCATAAAAATAGCATTGTGCAACATGTGTCTGATACTTTTTTGCTGCATAAGATACAAATTAAATATGAAGCAAGACAGCTATCTTTGGAAAGATTTATTTGAAATCAATTGTAGTTACTTTAAATTAAATTTAAAGTAATTAAATTTAGGAGACAATGAAAAGTTGATATAATTTCGTCTAGCAGCATCAGGAAATATCATATGCAAAAAAAAAACGGCACGTCACTTTGGAGCTAATGAGAGGAGTATATTTATAATATTATGTGGAATTGAAAGTTCATTCGGAATCCGACACCGTAGGTGGGATTCTGACGCGAGGCCGCGTGGACGAAATCGTATAGTGTAGACAAGAGGAAATGAGGGAGGGAGGAAGAGTCGACAACAACGAGGGGTGCATACGTGATTTCTGCCATCCCTCTGCTTGAATACATCCTTGCCGCGACGGGTCAGTAGTTTACGATCCGGTATTTGTTGTTCTGACAAAGTGGAATTCGGGCATTAGAAGCCCCGTACATCAGCGCGCGGCGGCGGCGGCGGCGGTGGCGGCCGCGGAAAACGAGCGACACCTCGACGTGGACGGCCGGAATTGTGGGTCGGTGCCCTCTCTTGCAAAAGCCCGGTGCGCGCACGCACGAACACAATGGGACGACAGGGCGCGTATATTGGTTATCGCCAACCCCTTCTTCCCCTCTTGTATGCATGTTATACGTGCGCGCGTATGTGCGAAGGAGGAAACGTATACGCGTCCCGCGAGAGCTGAACACCGCGCTGATTTTTATTAGCGTCGCCCGGCGTTCAGCACATTTTTGTCTACGCAACATTTTTCTCTCCAACAATCCGTGACAATAAAATATTATTCCCCGCGATACGTACCGGGCGAGGCGCGTACCAACCTACGATATCGTGTTTTTTTTTCATCGCCCGCCCGCCGTCCGGCTTTCTGCTGCGTGTCGAAGTTCGACTGACGCACTCTGCACGACACGGTATCACTGAATCACTTTTTTTTGTGCGCAAATCCATATCTAGAAAATATATCTTTTATACACAGAATAATCCTCTATGAAATTGCAAAAAAAAAGAATATTGTAAAAAAATTGGAACAGAATGGTCCAAAATTCCAAGTTGCATGAGAAATATGAGTTTATATAGATACAAATCTTTGTACATCTTTTTCTTAACTCATCTCTCTTTAATCCCTTGCGGATTTCAAGCCCGAAAGGGGATACGTGATGAAAGTCACGCCGTGTGTGCAAATTTATACCTCAAATTACTGGACGCTGCGATTTCGCGTCACTGTCAAAGGGATGAAAGATCGATGGGATCATTACAGCAAATATTTGCTTCCTGCCGCGCGATATCGTGCCGTGGTCGTCATAGTCGTAAAATCTGATCGCGGCGGATATATCCTTTTGTGGCGCACGTAGCGTACGTTGGACAGGGGATAAACTGTTAATTATAATTACGTTCCTGCCGGCGCGCATAATGATGACTGATTTGTCCGAGGCAAACATACGGCCGACCCGCGGCGCGGCGATACTCGCAATATGGAAATGCGACTGGTTGACCAATAAATTATGATAAATTATAATAAACGACAGGGATGACTTCCACCCGAGTGGAAAATGTTTCATTGGGTCAGCCATAATCTCGCTGGCGGCAAGAAACGAATTATGCCAAATGCGACGAAGCGTGGCTCTTTCCAGAGAGTAAAAAAGAACTTGGATACCCTGTAGCGGGTTAACGAAATATGAACAATAGGGATTTTAAGGATCAATAATAATTCTTCTAAACTATTTTTCCGCATATTTATAGTACTCTTAAATCTTATTTAACGGTCAGTTACAATTGCTGGA